AACATTTGTAGCAAGTTTAAATGTGCATAAACACTGGGCACTGGGAATGTTTATCTTCTTCAGGCCACGTGACTCCCTTCGTCGATACAGTGTATAATTTTATATCATTTAAGAAAACACACATTATGTTGATTATATAGAAGTTCTTGAAAGAGGCGATTAATTCCGGAAAAATGAAAATAAAATACAAAAAACAAAATATATTTGACAGTTGCAACACGGGGAGAGAATCACACACGCAAATCAACAATAACAACATGGCATCACTTACATGAAGTCCTGAACAATTTTATCTGCAAAACAGCATTTGGCAACCAATAATAGTCCAGTAGGGAAAATATTGAATTTCATGAATCACCGATTGATAAAATTGAAATCATCCACATTGAGATTGTTCTTGAAAAACAGAACGGAGAACAGACAATGGGTGACATCACCGATGAAATGGAAAATGCAACATTCTATGGACAAATAACATGGTAAAATTTTGTAATGAATATTTTGGGTTTTTTTTACTTGAAGAGCTTAGTGCAATGGTTCATGATTTACGGATTTATGAAACACAGCCATGTGATTACTTATCAATTTTAAGATCATGTTATTTACTCCCAGCATTGTAATTAAGCATTCATTAATTTCATTTACTCATTATTTTTGTTAAAGTTACAACATGTGTTGATAATTTATCAGGCTTAAACGAAAGTATTTTTATAATGCGGAATAATAGTCGCGACTTAAGTCTTCGGTTTATATGTAAGAGCAATTGAACGATGAATTGTTATTCTATAAATAGAGGGCATGGCATTTTATTTCTTCCTGGAAAAGCCACACAAAATCGGATTAATAAAATTAAGCTTGTAACATCTTGATAAGCATATGACGAAGTACGGGTGTAATATGTAGTTTCAAATATGTTTACAGTTTGTGTACAATTCTCGTTCAGGTATAATTATTGACCATTAGAATAAAATAATTTAAATAGATAAACAAGAGCCGGTTGAACCGGGTGATGCTCCCCGAATAGATTTTGGACACAGGAAGGTATACCTCTTGTTGTGTCAGAGTTATGCCACAGACAAAGTTCAAAGTGTAAAAACAACCCAAATATTGTGCACAACACATTGTCTCAATATGGTGATCATTTTTGTGAAATAGTTGTAAAATCCGACTTCAAATAACGAAGTAATGCGCCTGACATGATTTTGCTGCAAGGTCATGCTGTGAACTTGACCTTCAAGGTAGAGACCCAAATGTTGCGCGCGACACATCGTCTCAATATGGTGATCATTTCTGTGAAATATTTTTAAAATCCGACTTCAAATAATGAAGTTATGGACCGGACACGATTTTGCTGCAATGTCATGCTGTGACCTTGTCCTTCAAGGAAGCGACCCAGATGTTGCGCGCGACACATCGTCTCAATATGGTGATCATTTCTGTAAAATATTTTTAAAATCCGACTTCAAATAACAAAGTTATGGACCGAACACAATTTTGCTGCAAGGTCATGCTATGACCTTGACCTTCAAGGTAGCGACCCAAATGTTGCGCGCGACACGTCGTCTCAATATGGTGATCATTTCTGTGAAATATTTTTAAAATCCGACTTCAAATAATGAAGTTATGGACCGGACACGTTTTGGTGCAAGGTCATGCTGTGACCTTGACCTTCAAGGAATCGACCCAGATGTTGCGCGCGACACATCGTCTCAATATGGTGATCATTTCTGTGAAATATTTTTAAAATCCAACTTCAAATAACAAAGTTATGGACAGGACACGATTTTGCTGCAAGGTCATGCTGTGACCTTGACCTTCAAAATTTTCGGGGAGCATAATAACCTAAACCGACACCATAATCATTTGGCTACAATAGAATAAAATGATGACTTTGTATCAGCACAAGTTATTATTTCATAAAATAATGTCACGGTTCAGAACTGTTCACTATTTAGGGGAGAAGATGTGTAAGCGGCCGGATAGCTCAGTCGGTAGAGCCGCGGAACGGTATTCCGAAGGTCCCGGGTTCGAGTCCCGGTCAGGCTGCACATTTTTCTCACCCTGTGACATTTGGCGCCCAACGGGGGACCGTGACTGCTTATAGCTCAGAGTTCAATTAGCATTGCTCTGTAGCTTTGTGAAATTCGAGGACGAATTTCAATATTGTGGTGAAGTATGTCACGGTTCAGAACTGTTCACTAGTTAGGGGAGAAGATGTGTAAGCGGCCGGATAGCTCAGTCGGTAGAGCCGCGGAACGGTATTCCGAAGGTCCCGGGTTCGAGTCCCGGTCAGGCTGCACATTTTCTCACCCTGTGACAATAAATTATACAATTACATGTGGTGCCACAGGGTCAGACCATTAGTGCATACCGCTTTGCAAGTTCATTAAGTCTCCATATATTAGGACGTATTCATCAAAATAATATACACTGTATATAGCAGTCATGGTGCAGTTTAAGATCCTGGCATATTGTAGTTTGGATTTTAAACTATTTTAATATGTGTGTGTGTGTGTGTGTGTGTGTGTGTGTTGGTGCGCGTGTGCGTGTGCGTGCGTGCGTGTGTGTGTTTTCTACAAAATTATGGATAAATTACTTAATATTTTATTTCATGCATCAAAACATAGCAAATATATTACTTAAATATCACTTCTCATACTTTTTGTTAATTTTTGTTTATTTTGTTCATTTTGAGGTGTTGGTGTTTTTATAACAACTTACCAGTACATATCTATATATAGGTTCATAAATTGATCTTTGTTAAAATCTATTACGTTGCAGACGCTAATAAGAAAAAACACGATTTGAAATTTCTAAAGAAGCAAAGTAGGCGCGAGTGTTATTTTCTTATCTAGATTTTATTAAGTTACAAAACTTACTTGCGAGTTAAAATGTCTCAAACACTCAAGTTTATATCACAAGAGGGCCAAGATGCCCAAATATCGCTCACCTCATTCGAGCAATGTCTTAGACAAGCATCCTGACCATGTTTGATGACAATTGAGTCAAAAATGTGACCTCCAGAGTGTTAACATTTTTTTTCAATATTTTGGCAGTGTGACCTAGTTTTTGACCCCAAGTGACCTAGAAATCATCAAAACAACTTGCAGACCAATTTTCGGGATATTTGGATAACAACATAGCCTCAAGAGAGTTAATAAGATTTTTCTATTTTTAGCTCCCATGATCTTATTTATCATGAGAATTGACCCGTGTTTGAACTCCTCAATGCAATTATTTGGCCACGTATTCTGACCAAGATTGATGACAATTGAGTCAAACATGTTACCCTTAGAATGTTAACAAGGTTTTTCCATATTTCGGCAGTTTGACCTTTTTTTTTACACCAAGTAATCCATATTAAAACTTGACCTCGAAATCATCTAAACAAACTTTCGGACCAATTTCCAGAATATTTGAATTAAAACAGTTGTCACCAGAGTGTTAAAAGGATTTTTCTATTTTAAGCTCCTGTGACCTAACTTTTGACACGAGACAACCCATATTAGAAATTTACCTAGAAGTCATTAAAACAACTTTCTTGACCAATTTCAAGAATATTTGGATACAAACTGCAGCCACTAGAGTGTTTACAGTATTTTTCTATTTTTCTATTTTTAGCTTCTTTGACCTATATTTTGACCTGAAATAATCTATATTTAAACTTGACCAAGAAATTATCAAAACAACCCTCCTGACCAGTTTTCAGAATATTTAAATTTAAACTGCAGCCAGTGGAGTGTTAACAATATTTTTTTTCTATTTTTAGCTTCTGTGACCTAGTTTTTGACCAGAAACAACCCATATTCAAACTTGACCTGGAAATCTACAAACAACATTCCGGACCAATTTCAAGAATATTTGTATCAAAACTGCAGCCACTAGCGTGTTAAGAATGAGTTTGCTATTTTTAGCTCCTGTGACCTTGTTTTTGACCGGAGATGACCACATTCGAACTTGACCTAGAAATTAAAAAAAACAAACTTTCCTCATCAGTTTCCAGGATATTTGGATCAAAACTGCAGCCATTAGAATGTTAACAAGCTTTTTCTATTTTAGCTTCTGTGACTCAGTTTTTGACCCGATATGACCCATATCCAAACTTGACCTGTATTTTATTGAATCAAACATTTTGACAAAGTTTGACTGTGATCCAGTCAAAACTTTGACTGCTAGGGTGTTAACAAACCAGATGTTGACGACGCACAACACACGACGCATGACGACGGACGCCGGACATAGCCCCACCACTATACCTCACCTTGATCACTTCGTGGTCAGGTGAACTAAAGTCCATCTGAATTGTAAATTCAAGTATATTTTGTTAAGAAAATACTGATTAGCGTTGATGTATTATTTTGTCATACCTTTAGTTATAATTTACAATCGGTTCAGGTTTAAAATTTATTTACTCATCAATCAAGACTGTGCTTGATCTTAAATGCAATAAATTATTAAAAATCATTAAACACACACCATGCGTGAACAGTTAGATATAAAACAAAAAGGCAAATGACTTTTTGCAGCGTACTTATGTACCAAAATAAGACAAATTATTTTGATCTCTTGTGCCAAGAAAACGTTCCACTTATTTCGACTATAAAATAAACCACATTGTCAAGTGTACATTGTAACTCGCAATTTCAAAGTTATTTTCCTATACTAGATAAAAGGCAGAATTAAAACCGTTAAATAGACTTTATTAAACTTGGAATGTTGTTGAAATATGATGGCAAAAATATTCTGAGCAAAATAAGTTGGCTGTCAGCAATCTCACTTTTGAATTATCAGCCCGTGAATCAGAATTATTCATTTATTACAAGTAATTTCAAGGGCAGATTACTTAAACGTACGTCCATAAAATCGTTTTTACTTTTAATAATTTTATTGTTGATTGCAATACATAGCAACATGCAATGCCATAAACATGTATTACATTTTTCAGTTTTAGTAAAGGTCATTCTTTTTTTGGGAATAAGAAAAGCACATGTTTAAAGAAACAATAACCTAAAATCTAATTATCATTTTAAATACAAGTAAATTTGCTAACTTTATTGTGAAACGTCACAAAATCATTTGGAGTAAATCGTCAATACAATTGACAAAGTGGGAGTAAAATAGTGAAATGTTTTGGGAGTGAAGTGTTTGCCATTCTTAATTTCTAAGTTTCATTTGTTTTATGATTTCGATTTGGCATGAAAGAAAACTAATTATCATGATCTTGATCGTCATTGAACTATGATTGTTAATAGGGATCGCATCGGTTACGAAGTAAACCATGTTCCAGATGTGCATTAGGTTTCCAGTGAATTCGAGCTCGGCAAATGAACTGAAAAAAAAAGAAAATATTTTTTTTTTTTAAATATTATCTATAACACTGAAAATGATAAGATACGGACAGACAAAGGCAAACAATCGAGGAAGAAAAAACTTAAAATTCTTCGTATTAATCTCAAGCATATGCTGTCTGTAACGTTAAACAGGTACGTCAGCTAACAGGTACGTCTTTAATTTGACTTTACATTATATACCTATATTCAATATCTGACTTTTATTTTATATTAACTTTTTTATTCAAATACTGTCATTCAATTTGGCATTTTAACAAAATAAATAAGTAGCCGGGTCAAACACTGTTTGGAAGTGCTTACTTCAAATGTTGATGGAAGTTTACATATGTCGACTTTTGAGAAAGATTTGCATAAAAACTTTCGAAATGATAATTGTTTTGCGACGCAAGTAATTATTTCAAATATGACTGATTGCGTCATTATTTAACTTTGATTATGGCTGACGGCGTCTTGAAATGTCATATATAACTCGTTATTGAAAAACATCTTCCTTATATGACACTGCAAACTTAATGTATTTAAACATTACTGTATTCAAAAGTTTTGTAAAGTAGTATCCTCGTAATTCACTACCTCCACTTTGAAGAATATTACTTGAATCGCGGTTTTAGACACATTTCAAACATTTTCAAAAGAAACAATTATTCAGCTTGTTGGGTTTGTTAGTTTGATGATAATATATATCTGTTAAAAAAAATCAGTTGGAAATCATTTTTCATGAAAAGGATATTACAAATTATTAACTTAAGGGTTAAACAAGAACCGTTTATTGTTCAAGTATTTGTTTCAAACTAAATGATTGTTCATTAGTCAAAATTATTTAGTAAATGTTGTTCAGATTTTGTATACATGTGTCCATAAAGTAGGCATCACAACTCATAATGTTGTTATTTTTTCAAATATTGGTAGTGTTTAATAAGTGTATACTACCTTAATAATTGCACAATCTCAGAAGATGAATGAGAATTGAAAATATTTTGATGCTACCAGAACAAATTTTCTTTTTTTGCCAGCGAAAATCTTTTATATCAATTCAAAGACATTTGTGTAGGTACAAATCATATCCACTGATATTAGATTTCTATACTTAAAACAATAAAATACCTTATCTGATCCTAGTATATAATTGACAAAAAATACCAAATCGTAGTATTCATATCTGCCAAACATCGGATTCTGAAATGGAAAGATACACTATAATAAAAAGAAATTATTTATAAAGTATACTGTATACACACAGTTTGACCTACATTCATCAGTATCAAGAGACTATGTGCATCATAAGCTTTTGACATAGACTGAAACACGGCGACGTAACAAAATCAACCTTAAGATATTGTAATATACATGATCATGCATGTACACAAGTAATCTCAATGAAATGAACATTAAAATCAGCTAACTAGACTCTTCATATTTAATTTAATTGTTTCTATAATACATATATATTAATGGAAATAAAGGAATTGATGCGTTGTTATAGCCTACAAATAATTATTCAAAGAGAGAAACAACTCGTTAGTCGTAAAAAGCTATTAATTGAACTTCAAAACGTAACTGTACATAATCCATAGAAATAGAAATATACGAATGCAACAAAATTTTATCTTTCATTTACATAACACAAATGATGCTAAAAATCTTTCAGAAGGAGGCACAACCATAGATAAAACAAACTAGAAAAGATTTGCCTTAGCAAACGATTATCAACACTATATTTTGGTAGAGATGAAACTGGTTTAAAGCAATGCTAACAATTTTATAAAATGAATATCGCAGTAATGTTTGGTGAAAAAATAGAACACTAAGAGAAAGATTATTTGCCTGAATAAACATGTATTGTACGCTCATTAATAAAATATTGATACACATCATCAAAGTAAGGAGTTTGTCATATAAATGACTGCAAGAGGTTAAAATTATTGCCAAAAAGTGAACAATCATTACAACAGTGTACATATAATGTCACTTTTTATGAAACTTGATAGTTTATAAATTAAATTGAACATGTTTTAAATAAGATATATACATACAATTGCTGCGTTTTTACTTACTATTTATCATTATTAAGCGACTTTCTACTTACAGCACATTTAAATATGTTGGCTATTTCCAATTATAGTCGTTATAATGAACCGAATCTTAATTAATTTGAAATGTTTCTTAATGATAATATAATTGGACTTGTTATTGACAGTTGTGTTACATTTTTTCTTTTTTTTATATTTATCCATTGTTTTATATTTTTATTTATTTATTCATTTTTTGTAAATACAATTTTCGATTCCTGTTTTAAATTTGTACATTTTCTATTCTCATTGCTCATTTTGTAATGTTTATTTTTTTCTTAACTTTTTAATACTTAATTTACAAAGCTTATCCGCCTGACTAGAACTATTACTTGAATGTAAAAATTAAATCGCCTATTTGTTTGTTAATGTATATATTTTTTAATCAACTCAAACTTACCATTGCCCTCGCCGATATAATATGCACATAGATTGAATATCGTGGATCCAGTATTGCCTTCGCCGCAAATCGTGCTGACCGCCTTGCCCAGATATCCCTTGGGTTAACGAGTACCCATGGATGTCTACTGATGCCTATAAATCGCCCAACTCCAGATCCTATATTTGCATGAGGCGAAGTAAGTACTTCACCAAGAAGGCACAAACAACCAATATGTATCAAAAGATATACACGTGACATGTCTGGTGTTTAAATTGTTTAATTATACTTTGCAGAACATCCAATATATCGTTGTGAAGACAAACAAAAGCTGCGCATGAATTTTGTTTATATATCTGATGAGACGGCAACAAACTTTTTTGATTGATGTTGTGGGGTCAAATACATGGTGTTCTTGACTGTTGTTTATAAATATCAGATGAGAATGCAACAAACTCCTTGTAATTTATGTCTGTTAACTTGGTTTAGGAGAATATTAATTCGAAATTTTTATTTTTTTATTTTTATTTTTTTTTTATTTTTATTTTTTGTTTTTGGCAAAATTTAAATTTTCATTTAGTGCATTCAAAATGCAATTTGTTTTTGCCCTTCGTCTGAAGGTATACATATTGAATATTCTTTTCTTAAATGAATTATATTTAGATATGTCGGCTTAGGAGCAGGTGATTACATTGAAACATGGTCATTTTTAATGATAGTTTAAATACAAATGTATTTAAAAAGTAAATAAATATATATCATAATATAAAAAAGATCACAACCCCACAACCCTTAAAAAGCAAACTGTGTCCTTGTATTTTCCTCAGCGTTGTCATATTTTATCGTATTTTGGGATGACTGGCTCTTATTGTCCTACTCGAGCATGTACCACAGAAACTATTGACATCTTCACGGTTAACAGAAGTTTTTCCCACTGTCAAAATAATACTTTTGTCTGTTTCAATTCGGAACTAAAATAACACTGGTAAAGAGCCAGGCCAGCTACTGTTTGTAGCTCAGTTTTGATATTGAAACCCACTGTTTCTAAATTTTAGACAAAGATAAGTGCATATCACAAAGACGTTTGATGGTTAAGGGTTAAACAAAAATGAATGGCCGCAAAAATTGGGGAAAGAATGAAATTTTGGAAGACGAACAAACGAAAATAGAAAATGTGTTTTACTTAATGGAATTATAAGACGAATTATTTTATATAACTAAAGGAATTTTTGTGCTTTCAATTAAGACAAATTTATATTAGCTAATTTGTGCCAATAATTTTATATTGGCTAAGGAAATTAATGTGCCTAAAGGTAAGACCAACACATTTGAATGATACATGGATGATTGCTTTTGTCCGTGTTTTCTGAATCAAAAAGGGAATGTCAGTAAGTTTGTGTCTCCTTAATACATAAATATTCTTACATATAAAATATGGAAAATTATGTGTTAGAAACAAATGAATTGTTATTTCATGCATCAAAACGAAGCAACGATATGACTAACGCATCAATTCAAATAATGTACTGCTCATCCTCAACTTGAAAATGTTTTTTGTCAACTTTTCTGAAGCTTGAATTATCTGTGTACTTTTAACTAAAATGTTCATACATGTATTATGAACTGTCTTAAGATATGTAGGTAAAAGTCGCTGATAATAAAAGATAAACAATAAAGAATTTTTTTAAAAAGCCATGGAGGAACCAACGAAACTTCTGTTTAAGACGTTTATTATTTTCTTATTAGCGTCTGACTTATTCGCCGACCAACGTTTCATAAGCACGAGCTTTATTGATATTTCTTTATATAAAATCATGGGGAAAATATGTTGTTGCTTTTTTAATATTTTATTGCATGCACCAAATTTAAGCAATAATGTTGAATCACCCTTAGGATATGTTGCCTGCTTTTTAAATTTGTCTTTTGACGTCTTATCTGTGATACGCAGGCTTCATAACCTCTGATCCCCTTTCTAAATTCCATTTTATTTAGTTCCGCCCATTGTTTTCTCGTTTAGGGCACACGCTTTTTATTACTTGGGGACCATACGCCGCTTTTCATGGAATGGCACGTAAGTGTCACATTGAAGGTTCCATGATAACCGCCGTATGAACACATCTGCGGATGTTTCTAAATTCAAAATTTTACTATTTCACGTTTAAATGTTGAATTCTGCTTAAGCCGGTGCTAGGGGGCGTGGACGGTAACTTGCACTTTCCAGTACCGTCCATGAACAGGCTCAATCAAACCGAGCCTGCAACATTTTCAATTTTGCTGTGTTGGGCTTTCTTTAGGGATTCTATATTTATCTATTTTAACGTTAAATTTAGACTATAGACGGCTCATCCACTTCTTGTTATGTGATTGTTAATTTTGTATTATCGATTTATTTATATTTTTTGTATTGATGTTTTTACAGCATTTTCGGAAACTTGAACTACCAGTACATAGCTATATTTGGGTTCATATATATTGATCTTTGTAAAAAGGTATTACGTTACAGACAATAAGAAAACAAATAACAAATTGAAATTTTAAAAGTAGCGAGGTAGAAGCGATAAAGTGGTTTTCTTTTCTTATTTAAATAGTTAACGTCTAACTGACTAAAATGTTTACTATGCTTTTTAGGGTTGCGTTTTGTTCATAGACGCGATGTTTAAATGATGAGCAGATAATCCCTTTTCATTCAAAAGGAGGTATACATTTACGAAGAAGAAAACTTACATTTATAAGATTTTATGCCCACATAAAATAATTTATGTCATTGGTCCGTCCCTATACTCATTACTGTACAGAATATTACCCGTTACGGGTCGGGTTTTAGCCAAGTACGTCTTAGCCAATCGATATCAAGACCTAAATCATGTGATGTTAATTAACCAATGATTACATAAGATCTATCACTAAATGCCATAAATAACAAATGTTACATAATAACAAACATGGCATGTACATATTTGTATCGAAATAACCAAACTGGGAGGTAAAAACCGCCGTTACATAAAAACAAACATGGCATGTACATATTTGTATCGAAATAACCGAACTGGGAGGTAAAAATCGCCCATAAATGACAACTGTTACATAATAACAAACATGTCATGTACATATTTGTATCGAAATAACCAAACTGGGAGGTAAAAACCGCCAAATTATGACATACATTGTAATCTAATGATTAACCACAAAATCAAAATAAACTTTCAAATAGATAACAATCTAATAGCAAAAGTTATAATAGATGACAAAGTTGAACCAAAAACCATCTAAACAAATATAATAATATGGATTGCTGATCATAAACAACTGACCAAGAAATATTTTTTTTTTCAAATTGTGGTCGACTCGCCCAGGAAAACCCATAGTTTGGAAACCTGTGCCCTTTGATCTTGTGTCTAGTACCACTTGATGTAGGGCTACATCCTTGAAAAATATTTTAAACATTCTATACATGAATAAGTGTATTATATATGACTAGATCATAAGTATTTATGACAAACAATTTTTTTTTGGAAAGAGATAATATAACATTGACTAGTTTTATAAATCTTTACATGAACAATGTACATATATACATATATACATATAGTGTACATTATGAATAGTTGCACAAGTATTTTGAGATAAACAATAAGTGAAACGACTGATTCATGAACAATAAATGAAATGGTATTTATATCAACAAAACAGAGGGAACCGTTAATTTTATCTAATGACAATATTATATATGTCCAGAATTAATGTCTAACAATTAAATGGTTCCTGACTGGTTCTTTCAATATAAGTGGACTGCAGCCTAAAACTGTCAGGCACATTACAGGATATGCTATTGTAAATCAGCAACCGAGTTATTAGACCAAATAATTAGCTGTGAAAATCTTTTATTACAATTTTATATTTATAACATGTATTATTGAGACATCTGACAGTATGTATTATCGGGGCTTTTTCAACGTCTGAACTAATTGTAACAAATTTATAGAAGTATATAATTTTGTTTAAATAATTAATGTGCCTGGCAGTTTTAGGCTGCAGTCCACTTATAAACTAAGCCAAGCTGACAAGACAAGTACATGTACATGTGGAGAATTGCAAAGCATTTAAACTAAGTGATGCCTAATACAGCAATGGTATGCTGAAATAATAGCAATGCGTGTAAACTAAGCCAAGCTGACAAGTACAGACAAGGAAATGGCATAGCGTGTAAACTAAGCAATGCCTAATACAGCAATGGTGTGCTGAAATAATAGCAAGGCGTGTTAAACTAAGCCAAGTGACAAGTACAGACAAGGAAATGGCATAGCGTGTAAACTAAGCAATGCCTAATACAGCAATGGTATGTTGAAAAAAAAACAAGGCGTGTAAACTAAGCCAAGCTGACAAGTACAAACAAATAAAATGGCAAAAGGGCGTGTCAACTAAGCAATGCCTTAATACAGCAATGTTACGCTGAAATAATAGCAAGGCGTGGTAAAGCTAAGCCAAGATGACAAGACAAGTACAGACACACAAATGGCAAAGCGTGTCAACTAAGCAATGCCTAATACAGCAATGGTATGCTGAAATAATAGCAAGGAATGTAAACTAAACCAAGCTGACAAGACAAGTACAGAATCTACTTGGTGTACTGGGTAGGTTGTAGGTTTTGAGAAGTATGAGGGTTGCCATGACTACAAATTTTTTCTAAATATCCTTGACTACAAATTTTTTCTAAATATCCTTGCATTTATAAAGACTTTTTAACTTGGTTTATAAAAGGTGTAATTATTGGCTCAGCAATCTGAATACCATTACTTGTTATGTTAATTCAACTATGTTGGGCAACAAACATGAATTTCTAAGTTGTGTAACACATGTATACCGGCATCCAGTTTAATTTCTTTTATCTGACTCAACCTTGAAACCTATAAGTAATGAAACAATGCAATAAAAATGGCAGGCTATTGTACTGATGAAAGCATTGGGTCTTAGGTCTTCAAGGTCGTGTGCACTATTAATTTAATGATAATGAATAGCTCCATCGACTAAGTCTTGGTTTTTTTTGCAGCCAGCATTTACTGGAAATTCTTTTGTTTTTGACTTTTCCTAATTGTCCTGTTGGACCTGAACAACAATGGTGGAGGGAGAAATTCGTGGCTGTTTCATCTGAAAACTATGAATTAAATTTTTGTCATAAGGTAGACTAAACACCATGTTTGAACTGCATTTTGATTATGAAATTAATTCTGACTATTAAGACACTGTGCGTGATTTTTAAGCAAAAACACGCAAACATGGACTATAAAACTTAAACCACATGTATAATAGGATATGTTGGTAAACTGTAAAA